TTTGGAGACATTTTTTATTGTCACAACTTTGGTGGTGGAGGGAGGGGGGCATCTAGTGGGTAGGGGCCAGGGGTGATGCTAAATATCCTACAATGTACAGGACATTCCTGTTGGGCTACTGGACAAAGTTGTAGCCCTAAATGTTAATAGTGTCAAGGCTGAGAAACCCTAGTATAAACAAAATATTCCTCAACATGTCTTCTTACAGAAGCATTAATACCCTATTCCTGGCTTTTCATGAAATCAACGTTTAGAGTCAATGAAAATAAACCATAACAAGATGTTGCTATCATTGAATGTTTGTGTCTCTTTCAAATTCCTATGTTGGAATCTTAATATCCAATGTGATAGTATTAAGAAGTGGGGTCCGTTTGGGAAGTGATCAAGTCATGAGGGCTCCATCTTCATGTATGAGATTTGTGCCCTTATAAAAAAAGGTTCAAGCAAGCTCTCTTGCCCCTTCTGCTATGTGAGGACATAGCAAGAGGCACCATCTGTGAAGCAGAGGGCAAGCCTTTGCCAGACACCAAATCTGCCAATGCCTTAATCCTCCAGTCTTTTTGTTATAGCAGCAGGAACAGACTAAGACAGATGTGTATTTAATATACACAGGCATGCACATTTTTAATGCATCTGAAAAACTTAATACTATAAATTCTGAAATGATCATAGAACTTTAGAGGTTTCAACCTCAATTATTATACCGTGTCATATAAACACACAGGACTGGGGAAATACATGTTTGACATTGTTGTATGTATGTTTCATTGTTGTATGACTGCTGCGATCTTTATTCCTTCTGCTTAAAGGATGCACAAGGGGGAAAAGGAAACCTTGATGCAGGAAAGCAGGGAGGAATAACGTGTTAAAGCTTTAATGGATATTTTTTAAAAGGCATAATAAAGCCACACCATGAGGCAGAGAACTGCTTTCCGGATTTTATTTCAAAAGTACACAAGGTCACAAAACTAGAGCAAGTTGTTTTTCTAAACAAATTTTGTTCTTACAAATTTCAAAATCTGCACCATTGGATATGTAAGCCTGAAATTTTAAATACAAAATCTAAAACTGACACTATCCGTTCTCTACTTTGCACATGTGATGTGTCAAAATATTTTTTTCAGTAGTACAAGTATATTTATCACTAAAATTCACAGGGACAAGAATAAATGAATCAATGAATTGTGGTTCTCTTAACACTTACATCATTAAATAAGTTACCAGAAAACACAAAGGTCTTTGATGGAACTCTTAGTGTCCATAACCAAAACCAAACCCAACTGATACTCATTATAATTGCAAAATAGGATATACATTTTGTAAAACTCGATTTTAATTAATAAGAGGCTAGTGTTATCACCTATAAGTGATTAGCCTTCTCCAAAGAGAAATAAACAGAACCACAATTCACAAATTTGTTATTCTTCCCTGGTTCTATAACATTTTTAAAAGGAAATTTGTGCTCAGTTATTAACTATTTTAGTGTCAAAATAGGCAAATGAGTAAGAAATCCTATTGCAGAAAATGTTGTCTTTATTGCTGAAATATCCAAAGGCATTTGAAATATTAAAACTTGCCCAGAACATTTACACTACCAAACACAAGAATGTTATAAAGATATATGTACATATATATAATATATAATGTCACAAGCCACTAAAAAGTTAAAATTGTGCCAACATTTTCTACAAACTACTTATGTGACACATCAAAGCATTAACCACATAAAATATGGACTTTTCTGTTCACACTGGAATAAGGCATCTGAAAGCCCTAAACACTGTTGAAGCAAAAATAAGAAAAAAAAATCTAAACATTCAAATATCTTCAAATATACATGCTGCTCGCACAGAAAAGAAACTGAGAATAGTTATTTTAAGAAGCTACACATTACAGAATTTTACAGTCAACTTCATGCAATGAGTTCTTTTTATATTTAATCAAAATGTTTACTTGCCCCTTTATTTGCTCCAGGACTCAAATTTAAAAAAATTTTTTTAATCGGATATTTTTTTCCACAATTGTTATGGATAATGATTTGGGATTTTTAGACCAACCTCCCCCTAAGACACACTCCGACTGTGCTTCTACTGTAACAAGTCCACGGCAGATAGCTCAAATTTAAAGGAAGTACTTTGTCCAGAATAACTGGTCAATGTAATAAATAAGAAACTTTTTTAGGGAGTGGGAGGCTTTCTAACAGAAAAATAATATTAGTTAATATTGCCAATAACAAAAAGAACATCTATAAACTACTCTATATTCCAAGTACAGAATCATTTCTCTCCAAATTACCTTGTGTAACCTAAAGAGATGGTATTGAGTCTCTCAGGTATAAGGTAGAATCAAACGGTTTTGCTTTGAAGATGTAGTACTGTCCTTGACTGACGTTACTTGGCTTCCTAACTGAAATGCTTTAATAATTTTTTGTTGAACTACTTTATGATTACCAATAGTAATTCTAGAACAAATATTTGATCTCTGTTTCAACAGGAATTATCAGTGAGGATTATTTGGTAAGTTATCAGTACTATGTGAGGAACTGGAGACATAAGCCTAAAACTAAATTGTATCCTCTAAATTTAATCGCACCCAGTAGGTCTCTTCAGGTTAAACACGTGATTTTTATAAGCTTGTTTCTCAAGACTGTAGTTGGTATGGATCTTAACTGAAAGCCTTTTTGAAAGATTTTGATTTACTTATAGCAAAAATCCTAGATAAATATGAAGTGTAAAGGAATGAAAGTGTTTTACACATCCACTTTCTGTGGTAATTTCCACTTAGATTGATAGCATAATCTTCACTATATGAAAATCAGGAATAGGAAGTACCAACACTTTATTATTAAAGCTTGTGTTCTGTTTATTGTAATATTTTATAAATAGATTTTATTCATATAAAATAGGCCAAACATTTGGCAATCAAAAATAGCTACTGTTATAAAACCAGAAACACAGTCAAAGAGTGTTGGGGATGTTGACATTTTTAAATCTTTATGAATAACACAATTGTTTAAGTTACATCCACAAAGAACAGAGAAGAGGAGGCAAGTTTGAAAATACGAGGATAGAAAGGTGTCACAGTGATGTGTTTTTAGCAACAGTACCTTCACCTCTAAGCACCTTTCGAGTAGGTGACAGCAGCTCATAGGCACCAGAAATTCATGATAGAAATTAAATTACCCAAAAGGCACAGATGAAAATGTTAACACAAGTATAAAAGTAATTTTATGTAAGGTTAAAAACCTATTTTAAAAATGCTTCCAAATATGTAAAACTATACACTAATCCATTACACAGACATTCAGCTTAAGTTTACCATTGAAAAGTGTACACAATACTCTGCCTAATCGTAAATACATGCCAACATTAATTTATAATGTAGCATTTACCACCACAGCACCCAAATAGATTAACAGAAACCAACTCCCTACTAAAATCTAGGGAAAAGGTTTTAGAGCTAGTGAAATAATTTATTGTAGACCTTATTTACTATAAAGAAACTATTGACTCATTCTCCTATATCCACATTCCCTCACAATCTTAAGGGAAATACAATAAATCCACTTTCTTCCAAAACAGTATTTAACACATTTGGCAGGTAGGAGTATTCCCTTTACTCCTTTTTCTTTTTTTTTTCAAGAATAAATCACTTTCAGAAAACTAAGACTCAAACTTTTTCAAAGCTCAACTTGATTTGCTGGAACTGCATAAAGACCTATTTGGCCACACCACAACTGTAGATACCCCCCAAGTCTGGAAGACAGAATTGACAGAGGACACTCACTTGCTTAAAATGTATTTGATCATTCTGAGTCTATGAAGAAAATATCCTCCAGGAACTGCATTCAAGTGGGTAAATTTAGGATTACATGTTTCTAGAACATATAACACCGTCCAAAAAAAACAAAACAAAATGACGGGGGGAAAAAAAAGAAACAACACAAAAAAACCACTGTACCCAGAAAAAACACTTAAAATTTAGAATCGATAATTAGAACATTTCAATCTATAACTGCCAAATAATAAATGAGTTGTAATATTTTATTAGAAAAATATCACCTGCAGTGGAGAGCTAGTGTTTAGTTGGGGACTATGAAATACTACATCCTCTATCTGGCTGGTCACAATTTGGTGACCACCACAGACCTCAAGGCATGAGATCATTAGCCAACAAAATCTATCCCCACAATTGCACCATTAGTGTCATATCTGCATGTAGCTGACAGCACACGTTCTAACTCAATCTGATAGATACTCCTTTACCTTAGCATATAAGAGCTTACTACGTCCCTGTTTCCTGTAGCAGTCTATCAGCTAAATCTTTAAGAAATCATTTTATAGACAAAGTGTACGAATGATTTAAAAGTAAAACCACTAATTTCTATGATGTAGTGTTTTCTAAGTTATTAGAGATATTCCAAACACATTTAGAGTTTTCAAAGAAGCTATAAAAACAAGTACAAACATACGTAAGTAATTTTGCCATTTACTAATTTGGAGGAGACTGTCGGGCCATAAATAAATGATATACACGTCCTAAAAATAATGGTAGAAATTATAAAGTACCACTTTCACATCATTCAAGTATCAACTTGGTATACATGTCAGTTCACCAGTTTCTTCAGCTATGATTTGATATTCAAAGTGCTACATCTTATGTAGGTATTGTTATTTAGAAACTGTTAAAATCATCCTCTAAAAACCCAGCTTGCTTTTTCAGATGAATTTGTCTTTACCAACTTTAATGCCTTTACTGTTTCAATATAACCAAATTTTTTTTGAAGTATATTTCTTACAGTTTCTGATTAACTTCTTTTTGATATATTTGGAGGTTAGTAACAAGATTTAGACCAGAATACGTTTTCATATACCAAGAGGAAAGAAACACGGAGAGCACAGATGAGAGGTATGGAGTATCTATACTATAGACCCATCCTTGCTCTGTGCTGGAATCATCACAGGAACCGCTCCCATTCGACTTAGATTAGGGGCAGCTACCTTAGCAGGTGGGAGAGTCGGACTCTGAGGAGCACGTTCAAAGTCTTCACTCGGTACTTGGTTATACTGAGTCTTGGAATATCCTTCCATGTTGGAAGGAGACATGGATCCCAGGGATGAATGATTGCTGCCTATGTAGCTTCTGGCAGTGGATGTACGGCTCTTCGGAGGAGGCACGTCTTCCCTGGAAAGCAAAGTCCCCAGTACGAGTTAAAAGAATAAGTTTCTAAAACCCTGCAATTATATAAGCTATGAATCATGGGTAACGGCCACTATTTTAGCTAAGCATATAAAAGCATGTGTGTATGTCACCAAAAAAGCAAGCCGAGCAAGATATGTCACGAATTGTGTATCTGTCCTCAATTTATCATTTTGATTTAAAAGTACCTTTGTACTTAATGCTATGGTATTTACACAAAGGTATATGGTTATATAATGTTATCTTACAAGGAATAAATTTCAATTAGTTTCATATTCTAGTATCACTAATCAAGATAGTTATAGTCATGTAACATTTCACAGTTGATAAAATACTAACATCTCCACATATATTTCTATCCCCAAAAAAGAAAAGAATTCCTTTTTGCTATGAAAGTTATCTAAAACCTTAGCGGTAAATCTTAAGTTTGCAAAAACTGGGAATTTAGGCATAAGAATTTTCACACCAAGCACTGACAAAGACTATACAGTCAGCTCTCCGTATCTCTGGGCTCCAAATCTGTGAATTCAACAAACCAGGGATTGAAAATACTTTAAAAAAAACTCATCTGTACTGAACATGTACAGATGCTTCTTTTCTTGTCATTATTCCCTAAATAATACAATAACCATTTATACAGCATTTATATTATGTTAGGCATTATAGGTAATCTAGAGATGATTTAAAGTATACGGGAGAATGCATGTAGGTTATAAACATATAGTACACCATTTCATATCAGGGACTTGAGCATCCTCAGATTTTGGTATCCACATAACGTCCTGGGACCAATCCTTGGCAGATACTAAGGGACAACTATATATCTGAGTTACCTTTGGTACATTTAGGGCATACTACGTTTTATTGTGTCTTGCTTTACTGTACTTTGCGGACACTGTGTTTTTAACAAATTGGTATTTTTTGGCAACCCTGTGTTGAGCAAATCTAGCCATGCCATTTTTCCAACAGCATGTGCTCACTTCATGCTTGTATGTCACATTTTGGTAATTCTCATAATAGTTCAAACCTTTTCATTATTATTATATCTGTTATGGTGATCTGTGATCTTTCATATTACTATTTTAATTGTTCCAGGGTGCCAAGAACCATGCCCACATAAGGCAGCAAACTTAACAAATGCTGTGAGTGTTCTGGCTGTTCCCCCACCTCTCCCTTTCACTTAAATCAAAAGCTAGAAATGATTAAGCTTACTGAGGAAGGCATGCTGAAAACCAAGACAGGTTGAAACCTAGGCTTCTTGCCCAGCCAAGTTGTGAATGCAAACGAAAAGTTCTTGAAGGAAATTTAAAGCGCTACTCCAGTGAACACATGGATGATACAAGAAAGCAAAACACATCTGAACAAAAACGAGAACTCAATCTCTACCAGAAAGAGAAAAAATTGGCTAGGTGTGATGGCGCATGCCTGCAGTCCCAGCTACTTGGGAGGTTGAGGCAGGAGGATCACTTGAGCCCAGGAGCTGGAGGTTGCAGTGAGCTATGATGATGCCACTGCACTCTAGCCCGGGCGACAGAGCAAGACCCTGTCTGAGAAAAAAAGAACATCTGTGATCCTGGGAAAAGGTCAAAATATCAACATCAACAAGAGTTTGGAAGAAGTTGATTCCAACTCTCACGGATGGCTTTGAGGGGTTCAAGATGTCAGTGGAGGAATAACTGCAGATGTGGTGGAAATAGCAGGAGAACTATCGTATCATAGAAGCGGTGCCTGGAGATGTGACTGAATTGCTGTGACCTCATGATAAAACTTTTTTTTTTTTTTTTTTTT